CCCCATGGGAATGAAGCTTGTACTCTGAGTGAAATTGACACTTATCTGCTCAGAACACAACGTTTCACAATACGTCATTTGATAGATGAAAACCTTGACTTTCTATTATTTATAGGTAATGTATAATTAAACATAAAAGAGAACTATCAACAATATCTGAAAGATAGGATATGACAGAAAGGGTGTGATTTTCTATTTATACCTCTGTAACCAAACAAAATTGAAGACTATAAAAACATGGTTTGTTTGAACAGTGACGATTTTATAGAGAGTAATTTAGATTTAATTTTGTACTTTTTTAAGGGGTAGTGAATAAAATAGAGAAGATATGTCACAAGTTTCATACTAGGAGAAGTTCAGGATTTTTTAAATATTTCTGTATACAATTAAGAACTTAAAACTTATATACTATTAAAATATGGATTATTAGCTAAATGTTTATGCCATATTAATTGGTATAACATAAACAAAAAGTAGTTTAATAAAATTTTGAATGTAAGACATTAAAACTTTTTTTATGCATAGTAAAGGATACTCAGGGCAAAAAGGTTAATGATATCAAAAATATGTTAGAACAAAAATCTATTTTTTATAGAAAAAATACTAAAAATTATACTTACAACAAATTCATATTGATTTTACTGCTTCTAATTTTGATTTGTGCAGGGACCACCATTGAAGTTTGATCAGTATGTTTTCTGTAAATACAAGCACTTTGAAACTTAGTATATACAAACCTTGAAAATATTTTGCTTGAAATATCTAGCTTAGTTTAAAAACTCATCAGTACTAAAATTTTGTGATAATTTTTATGAAATAATGAGAGTAACTTCATTCTATTTGTGAAATGATTTCCAAATGTAATATTAGAGGTAGTTGAACAAATCAATCATAATTGTATTTTATTATCTATAAAGGATTTTGATAAGCTGTTATGATGTAAGCTGCATTCTGCCTTTTGAGCATGAACCTATTTGTGAAGCATCTGCTTGTGTAAATGATCATGGATATTATGAAATCCTAAAAAACACATTCCAAGAACCATTCAGAGTTTGTTTTTTTTTGCCCAATAGGGCAGTGTGTTTTTCATCAGGACAATGCCCCCTATCACAAAGCATGTATAAATTATGCATGGTTTCAAATTAACACTACTGGAATCTTGGAATCGTTCACTTATAGCCCTGATCTTAAACCTGTGGAATATCTTTGGGACCATCTTGATAGATTAAGTTGAAATGTTAGAGCACAGCCTACCAGACATCATCAACTGGTGGAAACTTCACCTTGAAGAATAGCAGCATTTATTCAGTATCAGACAAATCATATTTTGCATTATGACAATGACCACAAAGACCCCCCATCACCATTTATGGCTGTATGTTCATATCCTTTTGCCAATGTCTAGAACAGCAGTATTATTTTTTGTGATGATTACATTTTACTTATATTTATGGTTTTCTGTATCACCAAATTTCAACCTATATATATATATATAAGTGTCATTCATTTAGATTTATGGGTAAAATGGAGGTTTAAACCACACATTTTTTATACAAATTATGAATAATATAGTCAGAACACTTCATCCTCTACATATATTATAACCACTTGAAATGGAAAAAGGGATTATTATTGTAATTTAATTATATGATTATTCAATTTGAATTTATTTTTTATAGAGAACTTTGTTTTTATGAAACACAAGATCAGATGATATTTTTCATCATACAATATTTATATAGGTCAGTGATATATTTAAAAGATAATCCCTCTTGTTAGTGAATATATGGCTGGATTACTGGTTGAATAATGTTTCTGATTGTCTTGTGCACATGTATCAGAGAATTACATAAAAATAACTATTTAATGTCTCAGTGAGTGAATATTTTTATTAAATTCAGCTTATATAAGATTTTATAATGCAAACCTTAAATTCATTAATAATTTATTATATTTCTTTTTACTACCCAAAAATCACATTTAAAGTTTGTGTTTACTTTATATGTTTAATTCGTATGTATGAAATGGGTCTTTATCCTACTGAATATAGGGAGCGAAACCCTATAATTATATACAGGTTTCTTTATCACTATGAAACCCAGGTGTTTTGATCAATGCACCTGTTAAATAGTGTTTGTTTTGTTACATTGCAAAAAAAAAGAAAAAGAAACAGTAGATGAAATAGTTAGAAACATTAGAATTACTTTCTACAAATTATGCAGCTTTTGCAAGTAAAATATCTCATTTTTATATATGATATTTGATTTAATTCACAGCTTTGAATTTTCCAAATGATCTCAGTGTGATGTTTTTGAGAAATAAATAAAATGCTTACCTTTGTTGTAGATTTTAGTTACTGATTTTTATGTTTTTCTATGTTCTTTTAAGATTTTCCTATAAAATTTCTATTTTATAAAACTAAATTTTATCTTTGTTTGATTTACAATAGAAATAATTTTATCCCATACTAAAATCATAATCAAGTTTACTTTTTTTTTTCAAATGTTAATCAGAAGATTTTGTTTAACATGGGTAATAAGTTTTAAACCTGTATTATTTTATTTCTATTTTTTTGACAATTTTCTCAACCCATACAAGCAGTTACTTAGGCCAATATGGTCTTACAGAGTGTTTTTTGATGGAACGAAACTTGATATTGTTGAATGGAAAGTGATTTATCTAAGCCTACCTCATCGTTTTCCAAAAAAAAAATTTTTTTTCTATTATACTTCAACTTCAAAATTCAAGTGAAATATAAAATGACGAAAAGAACTTTAAAAAGAAAGAAACTGGTAATGTAATTGTAATGGAATGTGTTCACAAACACCTTTTCTTTTAGCAACCTATCACCAAGGCAAGCTTTTATTATTTTGTTCCAGTCACTACACAAATTGCTGCTGAAATATTAGGTCATTAAGAAATTAATGTTGCTTTTTTTTTTAAGATGGAAAAACCCAAACAACTTATATATCAAAACAAAACATTTATTAAATGAAATAGTCTCCATTCTTATCGACGATACTTTTCCATCTTACAGTCAGGTTGTTAATGCCCTGATTAAAGAAATCACTTGGCTTTGAAGCAGAAAACATGTCAATGTCCTCTTTATCACCTTCCACATTTGCATACATTTTCTCATTTAGATGGTGTTGCAGCAAATGAAAAATATGTTAATCTGATGCTGCCATATATGAAGAATATGGTGGGTTGGGGAAAACTTCTCAACCGAACTCCATAATCTTGTGTGGGCCACTTGTGGTCGTGCATTGTCATGGAGAAGAAGAACACCTTTCCATTTGATGAGTAAAGGGCGTTTCTGATGAAGGACTTGATTTAAACATTCCAGTTGCTGACTATAGATCTCTGCATTAACAGTTTGCTGTGGATTGAGGAGTTTGAAATGAATTACTCCTTTGATGTCCCATCAAATGCAAAGCATCACTTTCTGCGGATGGAGTCCAGGTTTTTGGGTCAGAAGTGGTTTTTGTCTAGGACTGAGTCATTGTTTTTGGCATTTAATAATGTCATAGAGAGTCCATTTTTCATCACCAGTGATGATTTTGTCCAAATGTGGTTCAATTACGCACCAGAAGAAACGAAGCAACGTTCACACATTGGAAACTTTAAAAAAGTTAACTTGAATCATACCATCATTGTAAAGATGAAACACTATTATGGCTAATGTAGAGAAATTAAAACTTTGTTATTTGTTGAAACAATAATACTCTACTATCTGAATACACTTTCTAGTGTTATTATTATTCATTCCCTAATGGTTTGAAACTTTGTAAGATAATGTTTTAGCTATCAAAAGTTTTATTATACAACATAAGTTGAAGCTATTCTAATTTTTATGTAGTTTGACTTTAAACTTAGGTTAGGAAAATGCATTAATTAATTAGTCAAAATAAAGTTGATTAATGAGTCTGTCAATTAATTGATTAGCAAATATCACTAATCACCCAACTCAACTTATGGACTTTTAGACTAATTCAGATAGTTACAGTAAGTGAAACTTTGTTTCAAATGAACAATCAACTGTTGTCTTACTCTCTCCTCTGTCCATTTGTCAGAGTTTGGATGCTTTCAACTTAAAAACAAAATGTTTACATTCATAGGTAACATTGTATAATTGGCCATTTAGTTTTTTAGTGGAGTTGATTACAAATACAATAACAAGGCACAAGCCTAATGATAGAAGGAAACACTTGTATGTGCAAAGTGTTTTGGAAGTTTCCAGTCAAGATGTGACTTACAAGTATGAAGATAACGTGCATCATTTTGAACATTTGTATTTTTAAAGGAAATGAGTTTATATTAAACTGTATTTTCTCTCAAAATAATTATTGCAAACTTGTGTGACTGATGTTAAATATAATATTTGAAAGTTCTGTGTGCTCTTCATATCTGAACAAAAAAAAAAGAATTATTGAAATTAAATATTAAAACCTGTTTAAATGTTTGTTTGTTACAGATGTATGTGTTGATGTGAAGCCTGTGTCTAGGTATGAAGCTACCAGCTGTAATTGTATAAGACCCAAAGATTTTATTGAAAAAGGATGTGGTACTGATTGTTTGAATAGGTTGGTTGATTTTTTTCCCTCTAAATCTATCATCAGAAATTAATAAGCCTAAGAGTTGAGTTTAATAACCAAGTACTTCAGAATTTTGCTAAATCAAATTCCATATACATAATATTTTTAAACTCAAAACTCCTGCTACTTCTACAACAAGAAATCTATTTAATAGTTCTAAAGATGGACTGGAACTCTCTTCTTTTCTTCAGCTGTATTTTCCAATCTCTGATTGGCTACTTTTAACACTTGTTAATAAGACAATATTATTAAAGGCAAATTAAAAGGAGGCTGCAGGACTAACAGACTGTAGCAATCACAAGGACTTGAAACCAGAATACTGTGGGATCAGTCATTTTTACTTCATGTGTTACCTTTATATTTTTTTGTTCTAATGTGGAGCCTAATCAGTCATCAGGTCAATGTGATCAAATTGTAGCTGTGTTTTATAGTAAAGTTAGAGATGTGGTTATGCAGAAAATTGAGGAGAGTGGAAACCTATAATTTGTGGTAAAAGTTGGTACCAAACTGAATGAACATGAAATATGAATTAATCAGCTTTGTGTGTTTCATGATAGAGGTAACCATAGTTTACTTTTTATTCTCTTGGTCTGTTGTTAGTTTTGGATATTTAAACATGAAATATTTCTTTAACTTTCTGAATTTTCCAGTCTATGGTTATTTCATTTAAATATGATGTTTCTTTAATTTTCTACTTTTCCCAACCCATGGCTTTGTTAGTGTGTGAAACAAAGTTTCACTGTCTCTGATGTTACCTGCTGGTGACTTAGGGGTTAGCTTGAGAGCTTATGACATTAAATTTCAAGATTTGATCCCTGCTGTGGGAACAGCACTATTAGACAATTTTGCAGCTTTGTACTAAACAACAAACAAACTTTGATTTTCAAAAGGTGGGGATGTGCTCAGCTGTCTCAGAAGTGCCACATTTCACATAAATTAAAATGCAGATACCTTCCTGCTTCACCATTTTTACCTTTTTCCATAGGAATGGAACAGTTTTTTGGGATCACTGAATGTGTTAAGTTTATCTTGATTAATGAAATGAAAAAATGTTTGTTAAAAAAAGTAGTTGCTCGTATTATCAAGCTCAAGAATGTTTGTCTTTTTTGTCACAAAATTAAGTAATTTTTGCTATAAGTTTTCTTAATAGACTCGGAAAATGTTAATAATAGTTTGGTGTAATCACATTCACATTTGATTTAACTTGAATATCTTCAAGCTGTTAAAATAGTATTGTCACATTCTGACTGACAATACATTTTTATTCTCATCAATAGTCAGATCATTAGAAGTAACTTATTTATAAATGTGTGTTATTTTCACTAAATGTCTCTCTCTATCTGATTTATAATTGTTGTTTCAAACATGATTTTAGCTAGTAGATAATTCTATAGATATAATTCAGCTATTATGCATTCTTTATAAAATGTATTGTTTTAACTTAAAGGATGATGTACGTTGAGTGTACCTCTCAACTTTGTCCATGCAAGGAACAGTGTTCTAATCAAAAAATCCAAAAACATGAGTGGAGTCCAGGATTAGAAAGGTTTATGACTCCTGACAGGGGTTGGGGAATACGTACCACTGAACCTATCAAAGCAGGTGAGAGTATCTTTGCTAGTACTAATGGTCTTTTGTGATTACAGTTCAAATTTTCAAATATTTTAATTAGAAGGAAATTACTTTTTATCTACTGATTATCTGTGATTTTCATATAATAAATTTATTTGGTATTAAAGGGAAAAATGGGTGTGGTTTTTAAACTAAAATATTAATTCAGTTCTTTTATAAACATCTCACATGGAAGATAAATAAAATATACATTTAAGTTTTCACAAACTGTAGTAAAGATGCAAAGATGAGTGCATAGATCCTACAACCCTTTCTTACCAATGGTATTGTAGGTAATGGACCTGGTGGCTCTTGTTTAATACACCAAGATCATTGTTGTGTCTCCCCCCTTTCTCTTTAGATGTTATTCCAAGTCCATCAATCATTCACATGTAATGTAAACTTTTCAGAAGGTGTCAGTTTTAGGCACCATGATTCCACCTTCTGCTCTTGCATCTCACCACACTTCATCTAAGTTTCATCACTATAATTAGAACTCTTTAGTTGTAGGTCATAGTGATGGTCAGCGACAAGATGATGATTGGATACACATATTGTTACCATAGATGGCAAATTACCCTCTGTATATTTCTTTGTAATTGATTTGTTAAAAAAAATCAATTTAATTACCAGATCTTTAAACTTGGAACTAGTTTTTCCAATTTCATATATACTCCTCAAACAATAGTAACCATCTAACAGGAATTATTTTACACGTAAAACAGTATGGTATTTAATAATACACTGAAAGGATCATAAGCTTTCTGTATACTAGCTATAACAAAACACAACTACAGTAGTTCAGTTTTCTCAGAGCGAGCACATAGAAAACTCCAATTATCCTTTTAATTTTTTCTTACCAATGTATTATGAATACGTAAACACACAATTTAAGAAAATGGAACTAGAATGCAAGTATTTTAAACAGTAATTAGCTGTTATCAAAACGAGATTATTATAGAGGTATTTTAATATTTGGGTTTTAAAATAGATCATTTAACATTTCACACATTTATACATTTTTTATTTTGTTAACTCCAAACACTAATTTTCATCTAACCTGAGACTGTATTGCAGGTAGTTTTATACTGGAATATGTTGGTGAAGTGGTGAGTGACAAGGAATTTCGCCACCGAATGGCAGAACGCTATTGTAATGATCAACATCATTACTGCCTCAACTTGGACAGTGGGATGGTCATTGATGGCTATCGAATGGGAGGAGAAGGAAGATTTGTCAACCATTCTTGTGAACCCAACTGTGAGATGCAAAAATGGTTTGTGTTTTATTCATACTGAGTATTTCTAAAATCTGCCATTATATATATATATATATATAATTAGTGTTTACAAATTTATCCAGCTTATGTTAAGGAAGAATGCAAAAATAGATGAGAATTTGTATTTGTTTAATAGTAGGCTGCTGTTCTGAGGTCAAAAGTAGGTATTGCTTTAACATAATGTATAACTTGGAAAATGTTTTTGCCTATAAAATTCTGCCTAATGTACGTGGGAGAAGTAAATTAAATTTCATGCTTTCACTGACATGGATACCCTAAGAGCTGGTGCACAGTTATATGTGTTTATAATACAGCACTAATCAAAAAGATTAACATTGTTGAAACTGCAACAGTACACAATATCTGCCCTGATTGAGGGACTATGAGATTTTGTGTTAAAGTGAAAATATTCAGAAAGATAGCTAAAGAAGAAGTTAACTATTGAATGATATGATATAGAAGCTTCTCATTGCATTTTTTTGTTTTAATTAAATCATATAAATCCATCTATGATGTCCTAAACTGGCTTAAAGTCATGTTTGGTCTTTTATATCTATCTAAAAATAGCATTTTAGATCTGTCTTTTGTCTTCCACAAGTCATTGCCCAAAAGTTCTTTTTTTTTTCAATACCAGAACTTGTCATTTGGACTGGATGATGAAAGACTAAAGGTTCTCTAAAATACTATTTAAATGTACAGTATAATACTTTCAAAGCTAAGGTTGAAATGTTCAAGACAAAGGATAGATCTCAAATACTATTTTTACACATTTCTGATTTTAAATCTGAATTTGTCTAATTTAAACAACAGCTTTAAGCAGCTTATGAAAAGCAAAAAACAATAAGTGAATATTACGTTATGTTAAAATGAGAAAACCAAAAATTTTAGTTACATTTATCACATCACTATAATTGTTAGGCATTAAATATGTAAAGTGTATGCAATGCTATAAGTTTGTTATTGTACAATAATACTTCTTCAGTTTTTAGATATAGACTTTTTCATAATTAACATTAAACAAGAAATCTAATTTAAAGGAAAAATATATAGATATTGAATATTAAGTTTGTGTCGTCTTGTTTTTTTAATCAACCATTTGCTCTGGATTACCAAATTCAGCAATATAGAGTCTCTTAACATGCCATATGACTGAACCCTAATCAGTACATTTATATGTGGGTTGTTTTGCCCTCAAACACTTTCAGAACAAATGCAATTTGTTGAATAAGCAAACTGGAGAGTAAACAGTAAATTTTCTGAGACTTAAGATCTTGATTTTATCTTGTTGGAGTTATTGGTGATATTCATAAATAAATCATACCAGTCTGTTGACTGTATAGGAAGTCAAAATATAATAACTCTTAGAAGCTAACATACATTGAATTTATGTAATTATTTAATTTCTAAAACATGTTTAATTTTACCATTAAACAAAATTAAAGCTGATTGGTAATACAGAAGAGCTGTTGTAACAGTACTTGAACTGATTTCACTCTTAGACTTAGATCAGTGTTAAACAGTAGATGTTACAGAAACTTTAAACTTGTAATTCTACCTTTACTTGCAAAGTTTTCCTTACTCTTTGTGTAACATTATTTATTCCTTTCTAAAAACTGTAATTGACTGAAGCTTATGTTAACTATACATTAGGGATGTAATTGGTAAGACAGTATGTTTACGCTTAAAGATTATGTCCTTTTTTCTAAGAATGCATGTTTTTTAAGAAGTATCTTAAGTTTGTGTAGATGATATATTTTTATTGGTGTTAGTTAAGGATGTGTATTAATCAAAAGTAGGTAAAAGTTCCTGATATAAATATATACACATACACACATTTGGTGTGTCTACCACTTGAGGTTTAATTTTGGAAATATTTTTTTCTTTGTTAAGATGTTATCTAGTGAAATGTGATTCCTCATGTTATGTGTATATTTTATGCCATTACAAGATGAATGAGTTCATGTAAATTCATATGTTAAGTTTTTTTAGAATATACAAATTTTATTTTTTATAGGTCTGTTAATGGAGTGTATAGGATAGGACTGTTTTCACTAAAAGACATTACGAGCAACACAGAGATCTGCTATGATTATAACTTCCACAACTTTAATCTTGAAACACAGGTAAAAAGATAAACAAAATTGAAATTTTTCATCAGCATAGGATATTTATAAGTTATTTCGATTTTTGAAATTAATGTTTTATGTAATATTTATAGTTTATGTTCAAGTTATTTCTTATTCAGTGGTTTTTGGAACATTCCTGCATTATATGGTTTCGAAAGTTACCATGTAAACACTATACAAGTTTAAATATAATATTGAATTAGTGCATTTTTATCTTTTTCAAATAAGCTACACTGAAATTAAGACTATTAGTAAAGCAGCCTCTGGAATGTGTTATTCTCATACAAAAGAAATCAGTACTACAGGTTAATTAGAACCTAATACAGTATAGTTTATATATTTGTTATTGTGTTAGTGTTTATGAAGTTTTATTAAAGGTTAGGTGTTTTAGATTTATTAAAAAATTTTTATTGAAAGCTATTTTCTTAAATAGTAACTCTTTATGTACTGGAGAGGATGTCCTGTTCTTTTATTTCTCATAATAAAAATACTTAACCAAATCAAACTGCATAACACTTGGTACCAACTTTCTAAATAGTATCTAGCTTTCATTTGTGAAATATCTGAAATTTTGTTGTGACACACAGTTTTACTTTTGTGATATTCATAATTATATTTCTTTTGATGTTTTGCCATTTGAAGCAGTAAACTTCCGACCATAAGTCAAACAAACACTGACAAATATGTACTTCCATTCATGGATTCACCTTCCAATAAAGATGACACAATTACTTTGTCAGGTGTGATAGCATGATGTTTTGATACAAATTTTGGTTAAGATCAACTTGTGTGTTATAATTATAGTTTATGTTTAAAAATAAGACATTTTTGTATGTGTGTGTGTGTGTTTGTTGTTTGAAGACAATTTAAAATTATCCAATTGAAAACAATGTGTCATCCAAATAGTTAGCTGTTGCAAACCATGGCTTTAACACTGTTAAACCATTGGTCTAACTATAATTGAGAAGTAACAGCTACTGTACTTCTCAATTTACAAAGTCTATTTTCACCAAATTTAGCAAGTTTTTAGTGAACATTAAAAGTCTTGTACACAAAAAATCAAAGTTTTTAATTAAAGATTTTTCTGTAAATATTCGAAGCTTTCACCTGGTGAATCTGAGTGAAAGATGATTTTTGTGTAATAACTATTTTCAACCATTCTGAAATAACCTCTTTAAAAAAACATCTTAAAATTAATAGTTATCCCTTGCATTTTCTTGAAGCCATAACATGAAAATTCCTGTCAAATAAAATAGATCCTGCTATGAAACTACATGCTTTTTCAAGTTATGTTGTAAATATTTGTATATACCTGTTTACCACTTTCAAGTTATAGTGACATCTCCGACAGTGGCATGCAAAATTCAAACAACTGACAAAAACCTCCTATTGGAAAGTAATGGGACATTCCATATTTCCAATTTCTCTGTTGTCATGCGCTCTTTCGGTGACCTCCCCAAACAATGAGCTAATACACAGTGAGCTACTAACAGGGAGCCACATGGCATATCATCCCAATAACTTAATATGGAACAAAGAGTTACTGTTATTAAAGACCATATATGAAATAGAAATCATTTAAGTGGTCTAGAAAAAAAAAAAAATATTACGTATTTTTTTTTTTTACTTTTCTTTCTTTCTTTCTATCGTAAATACTAAGTTTAACTAAATTAAAAAA